TGTCAGTTATGTTTATTTAAAATGTTGAAGGATTTATCAGATTCTACACTCTGAAATTTGAAAAAGTAGAGAAAGTTGTTGATGTCTACGAAGCTTATTTTAAGTCAGCGGGGTTCAGCGCTCTGAAAACCTCCCTGGTCATTTTTCTTTCAGCCAAACCAATCTGCATGGCAGATTTCCGCCTCCAATAATACCTGGCACCTGAGCAGAGCCGCAGCCGTAACAAACTGTTTAGATAGCAGCTCATGTTCATTTATCATCCTACTCACAAACTAAGTCACAACCATCACCACACCTCCCCCGGCTCCTCCATAACACAAACTTATTATCATGTTGTTGTTGTTATGCGCTGTACTGCCGCTGCTGAGATGAACTGGGAAAATGACAGTTTGATTGAGGCTTAAGCACGTCGGACAGTGAAAAACCAAAGCTCTGTGAAAGAAGAGGAAGATCTCTGCGACGCCGCTGCTGTGTTTCACTGCTGTGTGGGTTGGAGTGGTGAGCAGGAGAGCGGAGGAGTTTACGAGAGCGGCTGCACCAGACTCGGGAGCAACAGTAAATAAATCTGGGCCGTTGTTTAGGAGCATGTAATGAGCAAGCATAGCAACAAATAAAAACACCTTCTGTGGCTCTCGAGGTGCTTTGTAAGCAGGTTAACCCCGAAGATGTAAAATGCGCTCCTTTCTACCTTCCTCCTAATCTCTTTTTTTCTATTTTATAATCAGAAAATCCTACAGAGAATGAAAGAAACTGGAATCTCCACTTCATATTGCTGTCTTGACTCTTGTGACCTGATCTTTGTTTAACTGAGTTCCTCTTTTTGTAGAAAGCGGAGCACTTTTCAGTACCTTACAAAAGATGACTCCAAACGCAGCATTGGGCAGAATACAGCTTTAGAAACATAAATGTTTCTAAAGCTCCTAATATGAAACAAACTCTGTATTTAAGTGTTTTTTTTTTTTTTAACTTAATGACTTTTTGACATCAACATTCAAGCCAATGTTTGCGTGTCAAGAGTTTTCTTTCTTGAAGAGGAAAAAAGCACGTTTACGTTTATTTCAGGAGAGCAGAAAGCTGCATGTTGTTTCCTGACGTCGTCCCCTGTGGGACAAATAAAACACTTCTGAACTAAAATGTGAGAGTAAAAACAAAGGTGCGCGTCTCTTTTTTTAAACAGCACTGATGGCAAACATGTCATTTGCAAACACTCACTGTGGGCTATTTAAAAACGCTGCATATTGATTATTGATTTTAGCTGTCATGTGCCGATTTTGATGCTATCCTAAAGTAGAGGCAATCTCTCAAAAGTGACAAAGAAGTTGTGTCTCAACCTTTTTTTTTTTTTTTTAAACAGACATTTGTCTTGAAGAAGTGATTTGAATGGATTCTATTTTGATGAGCAAAAGCCAAGCAGGCACATTAAGACATTCAATCTTCTGTCAGAACAGACAGTGGAGGGAACAAGCAGCAGACTCTGTCAACACTCTTTGCCCTAGGCACAGCCTTTCATCTATCAAACTTTGCCACACTGGGGGGTCTGCTGCTATTTCAGGACTCCAAAAAAAATCTAGAACCCCCCACCTCCCCACACACACACACACACTGCACATTTATAACCAAGTAAGTGTTCAGCCAAAACCCATACAGCGACACACACACACAAAGACTTCCCGGATTTGTTTGTTTGTTGACTGGGATTGAGGTATTGGCTCCAACACTGACAGAACATGGGAGGGCGGGGGGGGGGCTGGACACTGGAGACCAGTGAGGAGCATGCTGAGACAAATCAGTTTTAGAAGAAGACAATCTGCAGATTTGGGTGTAAGGAACAGTCTGCATCTATTTCGGATTTCAATAAAAAAAAGATGAAAAAAAGCAAAAAAAAAAAGTGACTTTTCTCTGTTAATTGTGAACCCACAGCAGACACCTTGTTAAAACTAAAAAAAGAAGATCTCTGAGATCTATTAGCTCATCAATAAACTGCAAAAAAAAGCTGCTCAATTCAGAAGGGCCATTAACGTTTAATGGTCCGACATTTTTAGGACAAATAAAAAAAAAATAAAAAAAAACACATTAAATTGGGTTTAATCCGAGCAGAAATGATGAAACTCTCAAAAATAATCGATAATATTCGGTCTGGTTGTAACGCTAAGCAGTTTAGCTTAGAGAAGCAGTTAGTAGATGTGGTTAAGCTGCTATTGCCTTAAATAGTCGAATGTGTCAAATATTTATTCTTAGATGTCTCTCAGGGTTACTAACTTTTTTAGATGTTAAAGAAGTAAAAAATTGTACCGACTGCATGAAGGTTGTCGTATCAGATAATAACTGATAATCGACACATTTAGAAAACATTTTGCATCAAAAGAACTTTAGTATTTGTATTAGTGTTAGAGAAGACAGCGTGGATCTAGAGATACACCAGTGGATTAAAGGTTAAATGGAATAAACCAGTTTACCACTGGCTAAAACTAGAACCAGAACCAGTCAATAAAACAAGGGAAAAATCTGCTGTTTTTTCTTGTATACCGAATGATTTCCACCAGTGCTTGTAGAACAGACTGGCTTCGTCCTCATCCAACATGCCAATAGGATCAGGGAGGGGGGATCAAGTAAAAGCCTTTTTTCTGCTCATGCTAGCGTCCCCACTTTTAGCAAATCTTGCGAGTGAGCTGTCACTTGAAAAGACAGACTCGCCTTTTTACAGATGTTTTCTCTGTTGCACGTTAGGAGCCAGAGTAACAAAAGAAAAGACAAATCATAAAGCGTGTCTTAGCTGTAGTCCTATTACCGCCGTTTAATTTGAAATCCATCATACACCTCCTGGTTGTTTACATAAAGATAAATGGGTTTTAGAGGGAAGAGAGGCAGCTTATTAAATATGTTTTATGATTTTTTTTATTCCAAATCTTTAATGCTGCTTTCTAACACATATAAAGGCGTTACTTTTTATTCTCTCGACTGGATGTGGTGTTAAGATGCTTGATTTTCAACCTTATTTAACTTAATAACTTAATCAACTTATTTCAACCGTTGCGTATATTAGCTGCGACATATGAATCAAGATGCTATGACTGAGAAAATTTGATTGACAGATGACTTTTGATACATGATTGGCTGAATTTAGGTGTTCAGGCTGATGTATAACTAACTGGCCTGCATAAAATAACGGAAAAAAAAAACACTGATTTTAAGACAGAATTTTTAAAAATAATAGACATTTTCTAACTTTTAGGACAATATGGTCTGATAAAGAATGCATTTATATACATGTTTAAGTCAGAATGATTTGAAATTTAAATATAACTTCCCTATGACTTTAAAGTTAAACTTTATTTCCATTATATGGTTTTATTTGAATGTTAAAATCTTCACAGGCTGGGAGTAAATCCTAAAATGATCCAAAAACAGTTTCACTGCAATCGAATGAAGAACCGTAGTGAGAAATCAGCGACATCTGACTAATTATCATTTCTGGTATGTGAGAAAGGTTAAGTGGCCCATTAAGAGCCAAAATGGCACCAGTATTGGTTCTGCCTGGAAAAACCTACTTTAAAGCATCTGTAAAACTGCTCATCTGCTTTTTTAGTAGCTACTCTAACACAAATAATCATCAGATATTACTTTATAAATTCTTTGATTAACGATACAGTTTTAACATGCTTTTCAAATAAAGTGCTTTTTTAAGGAAGAGAAAAAAATTATTTTATTTCTGTATCCTGCATGAATTTACTCTATTACCTTTATCCCATCTATCATTTTTTGCACCATGTTTTTTTTTTCTCACACACTGTTTACATTTGATCCCTGCTGCAATTTAAGAAATGGAAATATTTTTTCTAAAAGCTGGACTTAATGCAATTTTGTGCTGTATACACCCTGTGTATACCTAACACAGTATGACAATAAAAGATGTCCAAGTCTAACTAAGTATTCGCACATACGTTTGCAGGTCTTGGGAGTGTCCCTGGGATGAGCGGGAGGGGATTGGACATCCATCCCCTTTTCAAGCCATGCATATGTATTGTTTGTCATTATATGTATTGTAAAATGTGTGCAGGTTTGAAATAAACTTTTTGAAATGAAAAATACCTCAACTAAACGTTGAAACCTGTATTACATACTGTATGCAGCTATTGTGGTTTTATTTATATCAAAGTGATGGACAATTCTTCAGGCTATAGGAATATTCACCTGATTGTGTTTCTATGTTTCATCATCTGTATAAACATTTCAGAAATTAGTTTATACTCTTATCTCTTTTTATATATTTACCATTATAAAGTAAAAAAAAAACTGAATATAAATAATAATTAACCAAATAAGTGTGAATACTTTTTTACTCACTCTATAAATAGAAAATGCAGATTTTCATACTGTGAACTCTTAGGAGAAGCACTAACAAAAGGTTCATGTTGCAACAAGTGGCTAAGATTTAAATTTGTGTGTTTTACACACAAAGCATTAAGAAACCAAACGGGTGAGACCGCGGCGACAGTAAAGTCCTCCAACCAACAGCAACATGGGGGACGACTAACATGTTTAAAATGTTTAGTTGGGAAACTTTTTTGAGAGATAATCTTAAAAGAGTTTCCTGGTTATAAATAAAAGGAAAAGGATTTCTATAAAATTGTTTTTGTAAATGAAACTCCGCCAGAAAAAGCTTTAAATTCATTATCATGTTAATGACTAAACATCAGCAATGCCCCTGGAAAACCATGGTTCATTTTCCAACGTTTCAAAAGAAGGTTACCACACATTTCTGACATTTATAACATGATAAATTTATCATCTAAAAAAGGATTAATTAACAGATTTTGTGAGGAATTTAAATGCAGCTGCAGGTTTAATTAAACATTTCTGCCTTTCACATGAATAGATGATTTATAAATGAATCACCTCTGATTTAGAAACTCTCAAACGATTCAGACTCACCAACATCTCCATTTGTGATGTAACCTAACTTTACAGCGGACATGTCGCAAAGGACCGACCTCTCACCTTTAACCTGTGAGCCGCCCGGACGTCTCCTCCGCCATCTTCCTCTCTCTGTCCAGCAGCAGCTCCCGTCCCATCCTCAGAGGCCCGTCCTCCAGCCAGCTCCCGAACATCTCCCGCGCTCCTCCCATGACTCCCCCGTTCTGGGAGCCGTTCTTCATTTCGACCATACTCTGCTGCCTCAGTCTGTTGGACAAATTTTAACACCACAGTTACGGCAGCGGCATACATCATTAAGATCCATTATTGTTTCTAAACGCTGCTACTGAGACCCTGCTGGTCATCAATGATGAGCCTCATATGAATGTTAATGTGTTTCTGTGTCCTCTGGGTTTCACTGGTTCAGACAGCGATGCACAGGACAGCGTTCTGCTTTAATAATTCTCTGCAATGAAGGCATCTATGATAGATCATACTTATAAAAACCATAAAAATATGAGATGTTTAGTGGTAAAAGTATTCATGTGGATAAAGACAAACATCTTCTTTCAAAAGTAAACTAATGTCGACTCATTAAGTTGTTTACTTCTCTGCTGTTAATTACAGTTTTCCATTTTCTTGTAAACAGTCTGTTGCTGTTTTTTTAATGCAAAGTTATTACATAGTTCATCCTTCTGAGTTACACATTTCATTTGATCCAACTATCCAATTTGTGATAATGGTACGGTCATTTTTCCTTCTGATGTAAACACCTTAATTTCGTCTCTTTGAGACAATAATGGAGTATTTTGTTCTAATTTAAACACACTACATCCTTTAAAAAGTTTTGCAAAAAGCATTAATCTTTTACTCCGTGGTCCAAAATCAGAAGGTTTTAACATTAAGGGCCTGATTTTAATTTTTTAAAGTCATGTACATCCTTTCTTAGTTTCAAAAAAGCCGTGCATGACTTTACACTTTAAAGTGATCACTGTAAGCGAAATATATTTTCTTGTATAATTTCTGAATTGGTTATTGTTAAGGGAAGTGTAGCTTAATTTAGTTGTAAGAAGGCAGGCGTTCATAAGCTTTGCCTTCAGCCTTTCAGTCACAATACTGTCATGGGTACTGAGTCATAGGAAGGGCTACCAATACTGAAATAGAATAAAATAGGTTAGAAAATCAATTTATTCTCCCAGAATGGGGAAAATCTGGTGTATAAAATACTCTTTATGTTATAATCAGTTATTATACGTTCCACTTTTGGACAATCATCGATACGTTTGACTGAGAGGGGAACTCATGATAAGACAAAATGCACAAAGGGGTAAACAAGTCAAAAAAGGTTGGGAAATTAGCTCCTACTGTCTCTCTACTTGTACGTCAACCTTGAAGATATCCCAATATTCATCTAAAGGGTTCATTTCGTTCACGATCGTGCTCTCTTAAATAAAAATCCATACTCTTTAGGTTGTGTTCAGTTAAATGAGAAATTCAGAATTTCCGTTTTTCTGCACTAATTGCTCCCAAAGTTGATCTACAAGGTTTTAGTTGGACTCTTTGCAGACCAGTCAAGCTTATCAAACCCCCAACTTCACACATTTGCAGAAAGGGAAGTGATTCAATCATCCAAATGAACTGATATGATGGTGCGACCAAGAGACAGATGGTCTATTTCATACCTGCTGCAATTGTCCTGCTTAATAACATGAAACCATGAGTGCTGCAGCCTTTGCTAATGCTGACTGATGCCACCAAGGTTGATCTGTTATTTTCTTTGGAGACCAATGCATGGATTGTTTGTTCTCTGCTAATTAATGTTCCCATTGGGGACAATAAAATTACGATTGACCATTAATGATGAGTATGTGTGAGTGAAGCCTTATTATGGTGGTTTGACTTGTTTTAGGAAGGTATGATTCAACAATTACTGCGGTCATTTTGGATTCTGCTCTATTTCACATTTTCTACAAACCTTTGTGTAGTTAGCATCAGCCTACACATGGACTAAGCTTGAGATTAGCATTTCTTGCAATAACCTGGCAAAATGCATCTTTCCTTGATGAAATTCAATGAAATATTTCTGCATCGCCTCAGTATAACAACAATAATCATCGTCTACTGTATGTGCAGCAAAGGAAAAGCCATTTTCCACTCTACCATCAAATACCACAAATGTTTGAAGTTTTTTTTAACTCTTCTGGGATTATTTGCTTTAAAGTGAGGTGACTAAAACTGAGCGTCACAACAAACCGTCGTTAGGTGGTTTAAAGATACGATATAAGTGAAAAGGCCCACTGTTAAGTGTAAGTATAGTGGAAGATCTGTGATGATGTAAGGTTGCATATCTTCCAAATATCCTGGGAAACTTGAAAGGCTACCTGGATGCTGTGAAATACCCCAATATTTAAATAAACATCTAGTCAAAGCTTCTAGAAAACATAAAATGGCTCCCAAGAGACAAAATCCTCCAGCTTCTATGTACTTCCTGCTCCTCAGATCTAAAACTTATAAAGAACCAGCATGGTGAGCGGAAGAGGGGAAGTCATATATGATTGTCACAATCTCTTTGCTCTTCGCCTTTGTTTGCAGTGATGCTATCCATTAAACAGATGACCAAAGAGTCATCCTAATGCTGCCGCATTTTTGTATCAATCAGCTGTCCAAGTTGTTTTTTACTAAAACAACAGAGAAACAATAAACCTGCTGGTTTGATTTTCTGCATTTAGAGCAGGTATCTCAGTATTAATCACTCATGAGGGATTTCAATGTCAGGAGAAAGTAGCCATCATTAAAACCTTTTTATATTTATACCTGAATAAGATAAGATGCATTTTAATAGGAGGGCTCAAATGGGTATAAAGGAAACCGTTATTCAACTAGCATGGCATCAAATAACACTTCTTAGAGGTACCGTAATATACTACTAAGGTATTGCTTTTTAAATCGCTTTATATCAATATATATATATATATATATATATATATATATATATATATATATATATACCTTAGTGTAAGGCTGTCTCTAACGTAGGACACTTTATAAATGAAAAGCATCTGCAAAACTTAACTTTATCTAAAAATATTTGAAGATTAAATCATCATTTTATCATCTAATTTTAAGTAAAATAATCAAATAGTCACATTGATGTTTTCTTTCTGATCATAAAACTTATTTTATTAATTCTAGGTTTTAGAAACAGAACATTTAATGTTTTTGCAGGTGAAAAATGTAAAGTTTTTCGCATTTTTTTTCCCTTAAAGGCTCAAGTTTAGGACCTAGTTCAGTTTTAGCTGCACAATTATAATTATGGAAATCTATGATAAGATGTATGGGGCTTTGAGTTTTAACACAACATTTGGGATGATGGGTGGGATGTGGCGTATTCCTAAAACTAGGGATAACAGGAATAAATAAATAAAAATTTGAACTTTCCTATATTGACAATATGTTCATGGCATGATCCTTCATCTGCAGGTTATTTCAACTTATATATATTTTTTTACCAATTAGTAGAAAACACAACAGAATCACCATCTAATCTATAATCTGATTGATTCACATTTGTTAATTAACAGGAAATAACAGTTTTTACTTTTTTATGTACAAACAAACAGTTTTTAAACTCCTTTCGTTTTTCAGTATTTTCTATTTCTATGACTCAAAGTCCTTGAGTTTCCTCCTTTTTTAAGTAACAAGGATTTCCTCCTAAACTTGCTGGAATTGTTTTCTCCTGTTTTGAACCCAAGTTTTTAGAGGAGCCCAAAGATTTAGCTTTCCTGGAAGAGTTTAAAGCTTTTAAAGAAACGTTTTCACCTTTTACCGGTATTGTGTTGACTTTGATTTTCTTTCATTAATTTATTTAGACGTTAATCTCTTATTTCGAGTTTGTAACTTTTTTAATGTGGAAAACCTTAAACTAGGTTTCCATTAAAAAAAGAAGCTTTCATCTCAAGGTAAATGAGAAGAAACAAATCTAACATTCCTTAGATTTAAATATATTTATCTTTTTATTTCCTTTTTTTTTTTTACTATTCTTATTATATTTTTCTACCCTGCATGTCAGATCTTAGTAGTATTGTAAACAGTTATTTTTTTATTTTCAGGATTTAAGGAAAATAAAAAAAAAGGTTATTTTGAGCATTAAAAGTATTTTGTTTGTCTCAGTTCTGAATGTTCCTTCTAACCCGCTTCTCAAACACACAAATATTCAGCGCACACAGGAAACCGAATAAAAAGCTGCTTTAGGGACTTTTTTTTTTATTTAGAGGGTAGCTTTTAATCACTTTTTGTGATATTAAAGGTAATTAGGTGATTGCCCACTATTATATTTAATAAGAGTGGGTCATAAGTGGAAAATGTTTTAATTAGCCAGAAGAAACTAATTATTGAAAAATAATGCCACACTCTTTGGGTAATTTGAAAATCAAAATAGTTAGCTGCCAGAATTATGTGAAAATCTTATGTTGTGGTAAAAAAAACTGTAATATAATAAATTTTCATTTTATTTTACGTTAGGAGACAAAACAGAAAATAGGTTAAGGCTTAAATCTGGTGTGAGTCGACTTCAGCAACGTGTCTGCATCTTTATGTGCTTTATGCATTTATTGGTTATAGATTTTACAGAATCATCAGCAGGAAGAAGATGTTTTAAATGCTGCGAGTGCAGGTTCACCTGGCTGCTTCTTCTTTCTTTTTTTTTTAACAGTGCTGTGCCTGAATCTAGATCTCACTCCTGGGAAGAATAAAAATGCTTGCCAAATTATTGTGCAGATATTGGTTTCCAACCTCATGGACGTGTTATCTGGCCAAACACGTCCCAAGCTGCTTGATAGGAAGGAAGACTAAATGATGTCCCGTATATTCGTTTAATACCTTGAAAAAAATGTTAATATGGTAACTAGAAATTAAAAACAAAAAAAAGCTGGAACCCATAGAGAGGGAGAAACTGAATTCATTTCGCTTGCACGGGTCCCCTGAAAAAAGTGCCTGTAGGCAATTTTTTTCTTCTTTTTGCTGAAGCTAATAGGAGAATATTTAAGTGAAGACTGACTGCAAAAAAGCTGAGAATAAGTTCAACTAAAACTCAGAGGAAATTAAATGATGAAATTCAACCACCTTGGGAATTAAATTTAAATAGACTTACATTTTATGATCAGTTTTACAATCTGAGCCAACAGTGAGTTACCCTGCAAGCTGTTTTTTTATGTAATAATCACAAAAAACATATGGATTTTCTACAAATTACAGGACAAAACAGAGGTTTTAGTCACAGGTCGTCAGACGCACTGTGCAGATAATTAACACCAAATTAGTGGCTCTCTGTCAAGAGCTAAGAAGTTTTTTTTAACCGCTCATTATGAACAACAATCCGTTTCTTCTCAATCAATGTGAACATCTTTATCCTTGCTGATAGAATTTGCAAAAACAATTCTTGTTACTCTTTTATTTCTTGCCTTCCAAAAAACGAAATCAAAAACATCCCATCAGAGAATGAGTCCAAACCAAAGCTCCACACTACTCACTGAAAAGCAGAAAGAGATCCCACATCCTGTTAATATTAGGGGCCCCTGCAGTGTCATATTTCTGTGTCTTTCAGCGTTGATTTTTAAACTTCAAATGGGATTAGTCCCGAATAATTGTCTTATTTGCTTTACGCTTCCATTCAGGTCCCCAAGGTCTGCAGATGCAGGTATTTCATTAATCCTGAAAGCAATGGAGAAGCATCTTTTAATTACTGCTGGCTTCCACTGTGCAATGGCCTTCCCCAGGACCTGAGGGCAGCTGGAAGCGTTCAAGGTTTTTAAAGGCAAACTCAAGGTGTGTTGATTTAATAAAGCTTTTAATCATCCGCTGTTGCCACCGACTAGATATTTACTTAGCAATCTTTTGTCTTTCATGTGCAAATATCCACCTTTGACAGAATAAAAGGTCAAAGTAGCAGACCTTCACTGCACCTAAAGTGTCCACTCTGAACTCTTCTGCAACTTGGAAATGTATTATAAAACAGTTTTATACTGGACGTAATCATTGCTACCTTTTTTCTTCTATTTTTAATTTTTTTTTATTTTATTATGTTTTTTCGCTGATTTTAGAAAGATTAATAGTTTCTCAAATTGCCTACTGTGTTTTACCCAAGCACTTTTCAGAGTAAAAAGTATTACAGTCCACACTTGATTAGCCTTAATTGCATTTGTAAGCTTTGCAGTTGGTTATAACAACAATAACATTTCATAAACAGTAGCAGCATCAAACAAATCTTAAAATATTTTACATATTCGGTAAATTTTAATAAAAAAACAAACCTTAATAGCCCTTGTTGGATAGTGATAATTCTAAGCTAAGAAGCAATTGTAAATTGTTAGCACCTACTGACTAACCAGTCACACAGCTTAGAAATAGTTGCTCATTTCATTTCTTTACTCTGGAATAAAAAAAAGCTGTTAATTAAACAATTATAAACTTGAAATTCTACTTTAACTTATTAAAAAGTTCTGCCTTATTTGGAGTGTTATTTTTTTTTTTCATCTTTTTTTTTTTTGTTTACTTATAAAACATTTTACAATGCTTGACCTTTAAACCCTGACTTGTGTTTTTTTTTTTAAACACAGATAAATAAAATTAGAATAAAATGGACTAATGTACCATCCTGGTAATAAAAAAAAACATTAACGTCAGTCAGCTCTATTGCTTAAACATAAATTACTGTATCTGAAATGAATCAGTTTAAAAAAATAAAGCTATTTAAGCAAACACATCAAAAGCCATATTTGTTAAACTACTGATATATAAAAAACCTAGTTACTAAAGCTACCACAGGGACTTACTTTGACATTAATATTGTTATGCTGTGCTTACTGTATGTGGGAATTTACTGGGCTACTTTTTTGTGTTTTTTTTTTTGTCTATGTTGTTTTAATAAAAATATAAAAAAACACTCATATATGTATATATATATATATGTATATATATATTTTTTTTATTTTTTATTCTCAAAAACTACTAATTTGCTAAAACCAAAATAGAAATGAAAGAAAACCAAGTTACCTGCCAGCCAGCTGGTCGTGGAGCTCAGCATGCTGTTGATTGTTCAGACTATTGGATCGCTGGTCCAACAGCCAACCCAGCTCCAACTCGAGCACTTTGTTGTTGTTGTTCGTCACAGCTCCTTCCTGACAACGTTGGATGATGCTGGATGCTGTTCTCTCCGGGGAACACGCAGGCTGCCCATGCCCTCCGTTTATTCCATTGTTGTGAAACAGTTCTGTCAACTCCATACTCTGTAGCCGGGTGTCGGTGAACCAGCGAGCGAGTCCTTTCCGACCCTCCAGCTGGTGCAGCTCCTCAGGGGAAGGCCACCGTGTTTGCGCAAAATCGTCCTTGAGGAGCGCCAGTGATCGGCTGTCTGGAGGCACTGAGCAGGTATTTAAGTTAGGGATGGAGGAGGGAATGGAGAGGGCATGCGAGGGAAAAGGAGGACTCTTAAGGTTGACCACATTAGTGTTTGTTTTGTGGACCCCATTCAGCTGTAGGGTTTGATGCTGTTGCTGCTGTGGATGTAGCTGTTTCTCTCCTATACCAGGAATGCCCAACTTCTTGGTGCCCATGGAGTTCAGGAGAGCTTGTTCCAGGTTGTCGCGTAGTGCACGGCGCTCCACAAACCAGCTGTCAATTTCCTGATGAGACAGGCGGGTCGTGGATGCAAGATTGTCCACGTCGCTGTGTGTGGGGAAGCTGTTCCGCAAGAAATTCTCCTCCAAGACTTTCAGTTGTTTTGCTGTTTTTCCTTTCATCCTCTCCAGCAAAGGGAACTGGGTCATCACTGAAGACTTTTGATGAAAATCTGTTTTTTGTAGTGCTGGTGCATCGCCACCATCCAAATGTATGATTCCGTTATTATGAGCAGGGAACGTCTGGTCCTGGAACAATTTACCATCTGAACGAGATGTCCCATTAGCCTCAGTCAGAGGACTGACAATCTTATTTCCTCTGGGGTAGCCGGCATTTATTTCCAAACTCTGGTGCTCCTTTAGCTTTTTGCCCTCCAGAGAGAACCCCTGAATTTGTGAAGGGACTTTAACTGGACTGCGGACAGACTGGATGATGGGTGGCCGTCTTATGTGAGAGTTTATCAGCGGAGGAGAGTTTGGCAGGTTCAAATCAGGCAAAGGGTGAGTATTAGCATGTTTTTCTTTGGGACTAACATTTCTACCACGAGGGATGAGCAAAGAGTTTTTGAATGGTGGGGCATATATAGGAGGAGGAGCTATCATCGGCCTTGTTAAGGACTCCGGAAACACCATGGAGGGCAAAGAGACAACCGGCTTGGTCTTGGAGTTTCCAGTTGCAGAGAGGATCTTCCCTTTAGAGGAAGATAGTAGTGCTGATGAGGAAGATGGTGGCGGCATTGAAGGCACTGGGAAAGATGGCCTTTTCATTTCTGCACTGACCATTGAAGCTGCTCCAGTTCTTTTAATTTCCATAGGAACTGGTGGTGGAGCCATTGGTAGGCGGTCTTTTTGGGGTGGAGGTGGTGGTGGAGGAGCCATAAGAAGTTTGTCTTTAGGGTCACCAGAATGGGGGGCGACCGCCATGATGGGTCGCTTCGCCTCAGGACCAAGTGCTGAAGCTAAGTGTGTAGGAAGGGATCGTTTAAGGTTGTGGCTGGAACCTATTGTTGCCCCTGAAGAAGAACTTGTGGTGGAGACGATGCTTAATTCACTGGAAACAATAGTCCGCACCTGACCTGGGTGCTCGACGGTTGTGTGGACGACAGGCTGCTTGGAGGCTTTGGCAGCGGGATGAGACATAGGGCTGGTAAATGTGTGATGGGAGGGAGGAATTGAACCATTGAACATTTTCTTTCTGGCTTCCTCCACCTCTTCTGGAGACCAGGTGATCCCTTGCTTCAGCCTCTGGGTGGTGAACCAGACTTTGATCTGCTCCTCCGGATGCTTGGAGGCGGCCGTGAGCCACGACAGCTCAGCATGAGTTGGGTAAGGAAACTTGTTAAAGGAAGAGATTAATGTCAAATTGTCGTCTAAAGAAGGGTTGTATTTGGTGGTGTTCAAGGGAACTGCTATTTTTGGTACCGAGTTAAAGTTGGGTGGGCGCTGAAGCATTGGGGTGACATGAGAGAGCCCTTGAAGCATGGCGGGTTCAGGTATGATAACTGTTCCGTTGATGTTCAACGCTGTGATCTGATCCTTCTGGATCAAGCCGTCCAGTTGGCTTTGAAGCTCTGCTCCTCCAAAGAGTGACTGTACGTTACTGGGCGTTTTCACTGTGGTAGATATGCAATGTGAAAACAAGGAGCTGCCGTTGCCTTCCCCATGTTCGTTCGTCATTTTGCATTCAGCTGAATTGTCTTTGCCTTCGATTGTCTGCTCTAAGATAGTTTGATTGTTCCTTTGTATCCGTTTAAACTTGAAGCTTGTCTCACCTGGGTGCTGGCTTTCATTATGCTCTGTAAGTGAATCAAACTTCTTTGTGTTGAAGTTGCACACGGCACAGAGATACAGTGGATTCAGAATGACGTTAGGGTGCCTGGAGTCTACATGCTCCTTAAAGTCACTCAGATTCTGCGTCAGAAATGGACAGTATTTGCATTTGTAGCCTCTAGGCTGCTTTTTCTCTGACACCTGTTCAGATTCAGTTTCTTTGTCTTTCAATCCACTGATCTCTACATTTTCCATCACATGACTTTGATCTCCTTTATCAGACTCCTCCTCTTGTACTAATGGCTCAAGGTTTTGTGTTTCCACCTGCTTTAGAAATGTCCTCTTGTCTGTGTTTTCTGCATTTTCCTGCAGCAAATCTTTCTTCCTGTTGCCTTCCGAAGGTTCTGACAGTTCATTCTCTAACACAACGTTGTCAGTCATTTTTTCCACATCCATCACATCCTCTGGATCTTCTTGCTCATCGGGCAGGTCGCTCATTACCCGGACCATGCAAGGGGTGGAGGACTTTCTACGACCGGACATGATGGCTGCTGCTGTTGCTGGTGGTAAACGCTGTGCTGGTGCTGCTGATTCTGTTGAAGAGACTTCGGATTTTGACTGATGGTGCTGGTGACCGACAGTATTCGCTTCTTGGGTTCGTTTGTTTTTAAGCGTACCTTACTGAGACGGAATATAGCTGAAGATTGTGGATACTGGTTGGTGGGTGGAGGAGTAGTCTCCAGCGTGCAGGAGCGAGGGCAAAACCCAGCTGATGGCGCGGGCCCAGGACCGGCTGTTCAGTGGCGTCTCCCGCTCACCGGCAGTGTCAGCTCCCAGCCTGGGCGTCATGGGAGGGCATCACAGACAGCAGCGGCGGTCAAGCTGCATGGGGACAAGCAAGAAGACAGAAAGTTATGTTAATAAACTCAGTCAATTGTTTATTGTGAAAACTAAAGATCTAGAACTAGGACACAATACTATGGTGTCACATTTATTTCAAAATGCCCATGAGCAAAATAAACATACAATCATGTATGTTAAACTACTCTTGCGTGTGGTTTATCTACCACCTCACAACAAAATCACACATGCGCGAGAAACTGCCGCCCCGAGAAACTCGTTCTACGCGCTCGCCAGCTCTTCCCACAAGCACTTGTGATCATGCTCGGGATCTCACGATTTTCTATCCAGTGGCCACGCTCGATGACGGCTGCACTTTCGAAAGCGTCTCTACTTGTCTCTTGGGCGGAGACAACCCCTTCTGTAAGCCTCCTCCTGATTGGGCCTTGCAGACACGATCCCACGGGAAGTAGTGTCAGGAAACTTTTTACTGACTGCTCGTCATCCATAACTGAAGATGACGGCTGGAGGAGGGACAGTGGCGAAGGCTTCTCCTATGTCTGAGGTACATGGGAGTAAGTGGTAAGCATCAGTCAAAGGCTTGAAGACACTAATTCCCGAGGGATTGTGTCTGCAAGGCCTAATCAGAAGGACACTTACAGAAGAGGTTTGTCTCTGCCCAATCTGTCAAAACACATTTTCCTTTGTGCGGGGAGGTAATCAGTCCGAGGGCAGAGACACTTTCGAGATCGCAGCCATCCTCAAGTTCGGCCACTGAATAGAAAATCGTGTGGCATGATCTCAAGCGCACCTGGGAGGAGCTGGCACGCACGGGGAGTGATTTTCTCCTCTCAAAGCATCAATTTCTAGCGCATGGGTGATTTTCTTGTGCAGTGGTAGATAAACATTGCGCAGAAGTACTTTAACATACATACGAGAATGTTTATTTTGCTAGCCCCGATTTTGAAATAAATGTGACGCAATACAAAACTCTCAAAATATAACACCAGAGTGTATTTGAACATGAACACAGACTTTATGACATTTATTTTTATCTAATTCCGATGGCAAATGGTCAATCCGTTTTTAGATCTTTTTTGCAGTAAACTGCACTTTTAAAACATAATATTCTTATTGTACAAATATGCACTAGTCTGGATCTGTGCATCAAATAAAACCACGAGAAAATGCATTGCAATTACGAATACTTACTGAATACTTTTGCAAGACGCAGCAGTATTACCACAATCGTAATATATTCATGGCTGTGTATAAATATCCTGCTACTTCTAAGACACTGAAGAATGAAGACTAACCTCAAATAGCCTTTCTTCCCTTAGACTCTAAACTCCGAAACCAAGACATACAATAAATTAATCCAATACACAGCAGCATCAATGACAAGAAGCCCGTGTTTGTCCAAATATGTGAGCAAATCAGGAATGGACCAGTTAGTCTGTAGCAGAAAAGGTTTCTACTAATTTAAACATTCAGTTCAAAAGTCAGGAGATAATATAATTCTTTATTTGAGAGTTTTCTGGTAAACCTCAGTTAAGGGGAGACAAACTTCCTTCTGTTCTGAAAACGCTAAAAATGAGCTGAAAAGGTTTGGGAACCAGTTCCCATTACACAGCCTCTGGTAAGTGCAAGTCAACATCTGCATTGACTTATTTAAGGCTCAAGTTAAGAAATGGGTGTTGTTCTGATTTCAAAGCGTGTATAAAAACTTTCTTGGTAAAATATAATGGGGTAAAAACATTTGTATTAACATATAAGCTGTTTATTGATCCACAGGAGTTGATCTGATTCATTTACAAAGCCAACAGAAAGATGACGAAGGGTCAAAACATTTCAGCATCAACGGGTGACTTCAGCCGGATTTTTTTTCTTTCAAGTCATGGCCAAGTTTCTGTACTGGTAGTTCTCCAAGCATTACAGGAGCTTCTTTACGTCAGCCTTAATCAGATGCTGGCAAATTAAAAACACCTTGTGACAAAGCCAGAAGGCCTGGAGTTAAAACCGAGAGGAATCCGACTGACGACTGTGGAAGAGAGAGAGATGCAGAGAGAGCCGCCATTCTTAAAATATTATCTGAAATATGGCTGCCACTTAATCAGGACACAGTGTTCCAGGCCAATTGCTTGTAAATGTAATAAATTTGAAGAGTCCACGGAAACTACAAAAGACGCAAAAAAAAAAAAAAAGTCTCCAAACTCCAAACCCCATTAAAAAGACATTAGTCGTCTTTCATAGATTCGGGCAAAGACAACTTCACAGGATAATTACCCTGTAATCATGTAATAAGAGAGACTCTGTGATGAGATCTCCTGACAGCTATCATCCACACAATGGCAGAGAGACAGTGAGATAAAAACAGATGGGGAAAGGAAAAAGGAGGGAAGTGGGACGGCAGGTATGTATAAATATGGAGCGAAGTGGCGATAAAAAGGAGGATAAATGGAAAATAGCTGAAAATAAGGGATGAAACTAAAGGGGAGTGATACAGGTGAAAATAAGGCAGGGATAAGGTAAAGGAAAGGAGAAGAGTTAATAAAAGAGCGAGGAGTGAACTGGACCATGGCCTGCACAAAGGAAGAGAGAGAATAAGGAGATAAGAACTGAGAAAAGATAAGTTAGAACCGAAAGTACACAAACAGAAGAAAGGGGCAAAGCACGTTAATAGACTTTCAAAAAGAAAGGAGGAAAACTTGAAATATATGAAGTAGAAATAAAAAAAAAGCAAAGAGGAAAAAGAATGAATATAAATTATTGTTAAAAAGGATGCAAGAAGTTCTAGAAATGTAGCCTGATAAATTAGACCATAAACCCTCTTGCCAGGAATAAAAAAAATGGTATTTCAGTCCCTAATTAGTGTTGGGCAAGCTGTTATTTGTCCCACGTGTCAATAAATGCTGGACATATTTCATGCTCTTGCAGTCTTGATCAGCTTCTCATCACTTAGTTTATAGCTGAGTATCCAGAGCCTAGTAGAAAGCAGTGCACTGTGCAATGAGACTGAACTAATCCTATGTTATTATAAATCTCATGCATTTACATTGCTGCTTATTTCCTGCTGCAACTAATGAGATTTTCTTATACAGCTAAAGTTAGAGCACAAGTGCTAGTGACTTAAGAAAGATAAGCTGATAAAAGGAACGTACAGAACAGAGTGCTTTCTAAACTACATGAGGTCTGAACAAACTTGACTCAAAGTGTTACATTTACTCCATGGTGAAAAGAAATACTTTTAGTGTGATAGGGATTAGATAGAGTTCTTCCTAACTTTTCCACATTACTTTGATCCGAGAGGCCGACCGACAGTTGATATTTCAAAAACAGGAAACTCAAAGGCAGATATTCTATACCAGGTTTTTATTTCTGTCTTTCTATTCAATTTGCCCTAATTTTATTTCTCTCTTTTTGGACCTGGAATCAGATTTTACACATTTTCGACCATTAAAATATTTGGACTTTAGGATTTGTATCCTTTTAAAGCATCCTGTCCTGGCAGCTTTGGAAAAAAGCGGCAGAACTGGTGGCCTTTAACCTAGCATACGCCACATTGATCTATGTGGTTCAACTTTGCCTCAATAGAACCAGTAGTGGAAACACTTTGAATATTGCAAATACACATAGATTAAGAGATTTCACTGTGCTAAGCGGTCGATGTTCTAAAGAGTTTTGTGCAACAACCGATAGGACAGTGTGGCCAGGCAAGAATATTATCTATATTTCTTTTGAGTGTCTATTGCCTTGATTTATTTGGGTAGCTGGATGATGACCTTCTTCTAATTATGAGCCAACAGTAGATGAAATTTTGAACAGAACATTTCTTTAAAGAGACATTATGTAAATTTTACTGTAAAATATCTTTGCAATA